ACATTTATCATTATTTACTAGTGTAGGATCCACACCTGAACCCGACTGCGCCACCGCAAACACAATAGTAATAAAACTCTCACGTCCCGGCGCAGCTATTACATCCCGGTCGTACATGTGCTCCCAGAAAATGTCGTATTTGTTTTAAAAATGTATACAGGAACGAGATATTTCGCAGTTCTAGCTGCAGTTTACATAGTAAATTGTAGACGTGCTCATAAATATATGCGGGCGAAATGAGAGTGGAGGAGCGGCATCGAAGGTCGCGTTATCCGGAATTATTTCACTCCTCAATCCGACAGACACTTGTCGCTTTTATTACCCGGGATTCCTACGGAATACATATGTTTGATTTTTCTTGTAAAACTTACCTAAAGTATTCACTTCTCGCATATATTCTAAAAGCACAAACATTATGTTGATTTATTATACCTACGTATTCCTGACGTGCGAATTATTGATATATCTTCTGCGATTAAATTCTCTCTACCTTTGCCTATTAGCATTAAGTACACATGTGGATAAGTTACGCATTAAAGTGAATACCAAATAAGGATATTTAAAATTCAAATTTCGCCCGTTATCCCGTCGATGATAAATTAGAGGTTTACAGTGTTTAGATAATAATCGAAGGTCCTTGGGGAACGCTTATGATTTATCGGATACGGCGCGACGATGATGCCGTAAAGCTCCGTTGTTTAGATATTCACACCTAGACCACATGCGATTTCGGAATATTAATAATTACGGAACTTAATAAACGTTTAAATCGTGTATGTACTATGCAGTAGTGTCGGATGTTGTTGAGGGAACATGAATATATATTATCATTAATTTTCGTTTGTATTTAATTGAATTATCGACTCAATTATTTATCTAATATTTATCAAATATTGCAGGGGTAAACCTATTTTTGATTGGACAAATTAGCTCTTTTAATAAATATTATAAGCAATTTAATTGTAAAAAAGAGAAGTGTTACTTTATTTTAATGTAACGTTTGGTAGGCACGTATGATATTTACAAAACCATGCACATTTTTCTTCTTTCGTAATAATTCTTACATTAAGGCAACGTAGGTATAATTGGAAAAAAACGGAAAAAGCGTTGTTCGTGCAAAAGTCGAGGAAAATCGGATTTATGAAAAGTCGAGCGGTCAGTAAAGAGGAGCCGGGAAGCCCTTACTAAATCATTTTCTTTCGGCAACGTTAAATCCCCATGGATCTTCATTAGAAGTCGGTTTGTGTGTTATCTTTTTGCACGTGGCTGATACGTCGGGTATTTTTTGCTATGAACTTAATTAAGTAATAACCGAGCCGGTGCGGCGAGAACGCTATAAATTTACATTTTCATTAAGTGCGAAATTTCTCTTTATTAAGCATTCGTCGAGATTAATTGCGGCGGATGAAGCTTCGAGCTGACATTTGCGAATGGGGCGGCTATTTGTTGCCCGGATTAACAAGCTTTCCGTCGGGTTGTGTATCAGGTAAATCGAAAATAGCCGCGAAAAAGACGGCGATTTCCAGGCGGGATCAACAGCTCTCGCCTCGCTTTGAATCCTCATAGCTGACAAATTACATTACAGTGGTGCTCCCGTAATATTACCGGTTAATACAACGAATTTCCAAAATTCTATTAATTAACAAGAATTAACGAAACATTAGAAAAAAACCCATAAACTTTTCAGCGTGGAAGCGATATGCTCCATGAAGCACATCGCTGTTGCTTCCTTTTTATATTATATAGGTCGACTTAAAATTGAATATAGACAATTTAATTCGACCTGGAGCAAACGCAACTTGTTTAGCGCCTACAGCATGGGCCTACGAATAAAAGGAGGTCGAGAAATATAAGGGAAGAAGTTAACAGGGCTGATTGTGAATCAGAAAAAGTATACTAGCGACTGTAGTGCCACAAGGGAAATTTTCACTAATGCACGTCCTGCTTTTCCCCGAAGAGTTTCCCATGACGTAGCGCGAGAAACGGAGAAGTTTAGATACGTTGTTGCCAAGTGATAAGGTTATTGAAAAATGTCATCAGTTTACGTATATCTTATAAAACACAGAATCAAAAATATAGGAACATTCGATAAAACGTTAATTAATACTACTATGCGAGTATGTGCTCATACATATATGTATAGTTTTTCTAAATCAATAAAATTTGATTAAATTTCAATGCAATATATAAATTTATTTTAAATTTATATTATTCCAATTTAAATAATTATTATAGATAATAATTGTGTAAAATGAAAGTATAGGTATTTGGCAGCGATGCTTTTAATTAACTAATGCTGCACTTTATCAATTATGTCCCTATTATTTGTATAGCGTCATTCCATCGCATTTTTACGCTTCTTTGTCGACATCGGATGAACGGTTTTTTAATCGGAATTAAACGCATTCTGACAGCGTTTTGTTGTTTCACGGTAAACAAATTGCGCTAATTGGTCAATGGAGTACGCGCGTCCACGGGGAATATCCAGCGATTTGATCTAATTAGTTCGAAATTACAGGCGAGACATGGCGGCGCAAAAATCTCTTTAGAACCGGAAGGAAATGCGGGCCGAACTCTCTCGGCGTACTCCGGCGCCTGATTCATTCAATTTTCGCGTCGTTACGCCGCTGGGGTTATCAAAAAGTAACAACGGCCACCGCATCAGAAAACATACTGTGGGACCGGCCGCGCTCCCCGAACTCCGTCGCTACACTACGGGATAAATTAGAAAGGGGAATTCGCACGAGGAACGGCCCTGTATTACGGGAACACACCGTACGTTTTCTCGTCCCGGTTGCCAGAAAGACGCCACGCGAAGCTTCCTCTTTCTGAATTATGCACCGCTGCTATTACTTCGAGAAGCTGTATAGGTAACGTAACATTGAACTTTTTAATGAATATTAAGCTAAAAGTCTACACGGATTGATATCTAAGTAAATATCGTCGAAATTTATTGGATAAATTCCATTTTTACCCCCGGTGAAATTTTCCGCGGAGATCCGACGATAAAGGGGGAAAACTATACGGCCGTTGGGAAAGTTCAATAACGCAGATGCGGATGATATCAGGTAATGCGAAGTTATTTTCGTTCTCAATCTGTCGCACGTGCCGCACGCCCGCATAACGCCCGCGCCGCGGATTATGCGAATCCGGCTTAACGACCTAAACACATTGTACACCTTCGGAATCCGCTGTTGCGCCCAAATGATGTAAAAGTTTTTTAATAATCTACCTTATTGAAAGAATATTAATGCAAAGTATATTACCGTAATTGTCCTCTATATGAATCCATGGTTAAATTGTGTACATGCCTCCCGTTATACAGGATGTTTATTACATACAATTCACTTCACACTGTATATTCTTGTATAAATTACTTGTAGTGCTTTATTGGTGTAATGAAAGGAGCGATATAGGTATGAATAATTAAAGAGGAACTGTAATAATATATTATTCGGAATTTTCCGAATGGAGACAAATTCAGCGGTGGGTTGTGGTCGTGCAAAGTTGGGACGTGTTTCAGCCGGGCAGCCATTACAATAGTTTTGGAAATAACTGGTGAGTTTTAGCTTTAGTTCGTCATTAAGTTTATTGCATTTCGGTCGAACGTTCCGAGTCAAATTACCTCGACGACGTATTGTATTCAAACAAAACTCCCCGACTTTGTCCCTTCAAAATTTATATATTAATTACGCCAGATTGGCGGAAAGAATTGAGTTTTGCTGGGAAATTTAAATGGTAGCGTTCGAAGAGTGTTTTATGATGTTACCGTACAATAATATTACAGTTATGTAAACAAGGGAGTATACGCTTTTTGCATTTTTTAATACAGAGTACACAAATATTTGTACCGATCAAAAGAAGTAGGGTGAAAGGTTCAATCATCAAAACAAATACAAACAAGTTGTTCAAATATGAAAATTTGAAGAGAAACGAATGCAGGATTTAAGCATTGTTTTAATTCGAAAGTTTAAGCAATTTAAACGTTAAACATAACATATTATTATATTTTTCAAATGTATTTCAGTTATGTAAGTATTTCAAAAGAAATAAAGTACCTACCTAGGTACATAACGAAATTTATTATTCTGATTCTAATTCTGATTATAATTCCCTTTGAATATTTTTTTGGAAAATAACTCAATCGGGGGCCACTACAAATTTATATACATAGATTTAAACTTGAACATTCTCGGCTGGAGATTACTTTTCGGCTGGAGATTACTGGAGAAAACAAATAGAGACAGTAAACAATCTGAAAATAAATTAAAAAGCCGTTAACCTCATCTTAAACAGAAAAAAAAATCGTAGCAGTAGCATCGCTGACCTCGTAGACGTAGGAAATACTCGCCTTATAACAAAAATATGCGTTATTTCTCCGTTTTTCTGCTTATTTTTACGTGGCAGTGTTGTGGGTGTTTAGACATTTTGATGGTAATAAAATTTTTCGCCAAAAGTCATTTTCTGGTGTTCGAACCAATGGCGGAACAACTAGCTTCCAAAGGGCACAATCTTACTGTGATAGTTAATTTTAAAATACCTCAGTCAAACCTATACAGAGTAATAAGTATTAGTAAAGACACAGAAAAGAACAATGTAGAAATATTTCAAATGGATAAATTTACTTCTACCAGAATGGACATGTACGTACGGCCCACCAGCCAAGTAAGGTATTCGAACTCTGAATGTGAAAGACTGAACAGCAGTGAAATGCAAAAATTTGTCAAGGAAAATAATCGCTTCGATGTTATTTTATTGGAAGTGTTCAATACGAATTGCTTCCTCGGTTTGGGTAAATTATTTAATGCCCCGATTGTAGGTAAGTGTTTTCAAAAATATTTCTAATATGTGGATTTAGTACTTTCAATCATCAATACCCCGCCATATAATTTTTATCGTTAAATCAATTCAAATATAAAAATGAATTTATGATAAGATAACCGTTTGTTTAAATAATAAGTTTAAAGATAACGTTGCATTTTATTCGAGTTCAGTTATTTCAATTATTTTACATGCATTTTAGTTTAGTATTCAGTACAAACTTTTAGTGTTTAAAATGAATATAAAATCATTATTGTTATTAACTATTTTATTTAAAAATTGTGTTAGTTTAAAAATACTAGCATTGTATCCCAATGTAATGATAAGTCATTATTTGGTGTTTGAACCATTGTTTCACGAATTGGCAAACAGAGGACATAATGTCACAATAGTGAGTTCATTCCAAAAAGAACAAAATTATCCCAACATTAGATTTATCGATGTTAATGATGGTAACAAAAAGCCTCATGAAATGTTACCAATGAATTTTTTTAATGGAGGGCGAATTAGCAAGTACTTTGAACTCTATCAATTGGCCAGAACAGGCTTAGAAATATGCAATGCGTACAAGAACAGTAAAAACATAAAATCATTCCTCGAAGAAAATAATAAGTACGACCTTATTATAGTCGAATTATTCAATACTTATTGCCATTTCGGAGTATTGAAACAAAATAAAGCAGTCAATATAGGTATATCGTGTAAGTACCAAAATGAACGAAATTAATAATGTCAATTATTCCAGGTTTGTCCTCAACCGATATGCTCCCTTGGATGAACCAATGGTTCGGAAATCCGGAAAATCCCTCCTACATTCCCACACTCTTTCTGGATTATAACGATGAAATGACGTTCCTGCAAAGAGTCGAAAACACTCTAATGTGGGCATACTCCAAATTCATCCACGAGTACTGGATAGCTCAAGTAGGAAATGAATTTTCCAAAAAACATCTAGGTGTAGATTTGTACGAAGGCGGCGATGCCCTATACAATATTAGCCTTTTGTTGTTGAATAGGCATTTCACTTATCATACTCCTAGGCCTCTTTCGCCTAATGTAATAGAAGTTGGTGGGATACATATCAAGAAGCCAAAACCACTGCCAGGTGTAAGTAGAAACGTAGACATTTATATAGAGGGAAATCATGCTGGACCTTGATTGTTTATTGTAGAATTTGGCAAAAATAGTAGAAGGTTCTCCTAACGGCGTGATTTTCATGAGCATGGGTTCAACCTTAAAAGGCAGCAGTTTTCCGGAAGCCCAAAGAAAAATGTTTATAAAAGTTTTTTCCGTTCTAAAGCAAACTGTCATTTGGAAATGGGAAGATGAGATGAAGGACTTACCCAAAAATGTATTAACCCAAAAATGGATACCACAATTAGATATGTTATGTAAGACATGGGCTTCTTCCTCCACTAGCCACCTCTTACAGCATAGTTAATTTTAGGTCATCCCAATGTAAAATTATTCATTACTCAAGGCGGATTGTTGAGTACTCAAGAAGCAGTGCATTGCGGAGTACCGATGTTGATGCTTCCACAATTTGCTGATCAGCATTACAATGCAGCCGCACTCAAGAAAACAGGAGCAATAGCATTAAAATTGAGGACAACGAACGAGGAGGAATTACTAAACTCGATCAAAAAATTATTAACTGCAGAGTAAGTAATAAAACCATCAATACAGTAATGCATGATAAATACTATATAAAGCGATTATAAAATTTGCCTGTTAGATCCGGCGGATTATAAATTATAAAAATGATTACATGAAAACCCTTTCAAATATTAATGGATTGTTTCGTTTTAAGCCGTTTTAATAACATTAATGCATATTAACATGTGAAGCATTAAATTAAAATGTAGCTCAAAATGTGCTAGTTTGATTAAAGTTACTTCGATCGTATTACAATGTTTTTGGCCTTCGTTCGCAAATTTACTCTATATAATAATTTTCTCTTGTTACAGATCGGCTAACAACGCTAAAGAGTTAGCACAGCTATTTAATGATAGACCTATGTCCCCAATGGATACTGCTATTTATTGGATAGAATATGTTGCTAAATACAAAGGAGCACCATTTATGAGAACAAAAGTAACCGATTTATCGTATTATCAGTACCTGCTTTTAGATGTGATAGGATTTTTATTACTAATTGTTGCAGCAGGAGCATATTTGTTACTTACGATATTGAAATTAGTAAAAAAATTGCTATTTAAAAAGTCTGTAGCAAAGTTAAAGAAACAGTAATTTGGTATATAGGTAACAGGTGTGGTAGCAAGTAGTTTGATAACAGGTATGTTGGTATGTCAACGAACAAATTTTAAGTAACTTCCTACTGAATAAATAATAAATCTATAAAATTCTCCGAGTATATTTAAGTAAATCTTTGAATTCCAGCTTCAAAATATCCATCTATACAAGTCGACACATTATCAGGTTCTCTTTTCATATAATTTTCCCGCTTTAGAATCACTCTCAAAGGTAAACGAGGAAATGCTTTCAACAAGGTCTTTTTCCTTGTCCTTTCAAAATGATATGATCTTTTATTGCTGACGTTTTTCGTAAATAATTTCTGCGGACTGTGCAAGGCAGCAATTTCGCAAATATTCCAAGCCAACGCAAAACTTGCAAATTTCTATTAGATAAATTTTTAAAATACCTTCCTATATTCCATAAATTCAATTTAATTAATATTTTTCTACGAAGTCGACTAGAGAAAACGAACAACATTTACTTGAGTAGGTATTATCGTTCGAGCTCGCTTCTCTTCAAATTTAATAACTTTTCCGAAACGAAATCTTATTACATTCCATTCAATAAATTATTTTAGCCGGTGATGTTTCCCCCGAAAGCTCCCGTCTCCTTAAAACGTCAGTATTCATTAACGTTTTTTCGGTTCAAAAAAAAACCACCATTAACTTTTAAACATCTTAAGTGGCATTCACTTTTTAAATTAAATTAAATACCAACTTGAATGGGAGAATTATAACGAACCGTACGACTCACTTTCTACCCGCAAATCAATTTCAATTTAGAAAAGAAATGAAACAGCAAAGCTCGCAATCTAAAAAGCTATAGAATCCCGAAAGGCGGGATGGGAAACGTGGGTTTCCTTGTAATTGAATGTGCATTCACGTTTCTGCGATTTTAGACGGAAAATAAGTTAATGCGATTTTTAATAATTCCTAGACATAATAATAATTGTATGTACAGTACGTGCTAATTTTACCGAGTATTGGTGCCATAAAGACAACTTCCATTATTCGCATATAAAATAAATAGATTAAAGACTTTAGAATCGACTTGGGTTTCTCGAAAAGAACTGATCAGTTTTTTTACTATATTTTTGACTAAAATATTGTAAGATAAGACGGGATGAAATGCGGTGCTTAGATACAATTTGTGAAAATATATCATACCCAATTATATTATAACTCTTATGGACGGTATGGGAAGCATGTGTATGCTATTCTGAGCGATATTATTGAATTAAAACTTATCATACATATATTGTTATTTTATTATTATTTGTTCAACTCAAAGAAATGACAATGTTGAGTTAAAATCTGCACAAATATGCATATTGATTACCGAGATTAGGAGAATATTTACTGAGTAGTTAACATACTAGTATATTAAGTTAAAGCCTCTAAACCTACCATTATCAATTAATTAATTGTACATGTATTTTCTTTTCGCCTCTGCGACTAATTAGTAAACTAATAAACTTCCATTAGAGATAAGTAAAGCGAATTTGACGTAAATGTAATTCCATTTAGCACCTCGCCGGATATTAGACTTTCCTTCTTAATTTTCTCGTTCTGCCTTTGTACATTGGCGAGAGGGATTTACCCGCCCGCGCCGTATATAAACAATATCTTCCTGTTAGATTAAAAACGGCACGTCAGGGACCGGAAGCGGGATAGCACGTGACAGGTGTCGGCGGGGAATTACCTACCCATTGTGAGCGCCCTTTGTTGGGAAATTTTAATAAGAAACCGTTCATTGTGGTTGTATTTGAATACAGGAGGTAAGGAGGACGAAAATTCTTGGCGATTTGTAAAGAATGAACGGGAGCGAATTTTTTTGTACGTACAAAATCATAGCGATTTGGGGAGAATAGGGTATTACATTTTTTTTATAATAAATTACTTGTTAGTGCGAAAAGCTGCTCACGTTTCGCCTTACCGGAAACCGAAGCAACAGTGAAGGTCGCCTTTTTGCCGGACTTATATAAATTTAAAATGTTTTCTTTGGAAATTTCTCCAGGGAGAGGCCGGTGATTAATGTAGCTTTCAAGAAAAGTTGTCAGAAATTGGAGTTAAGTTTTCGCATCGTCAAACGCGAAGGGGAATTTATTTTCTTTGTGAGTGAGAGAGTAATGTTTGCTTATTTCTCGACGACGCCGACGCCGCTACTACATTGATACCCGAACGATCAGATGGGAAAAATAACTGCGTTTCCTCGGGTGTTTTTTAAAGCGTATTAAAGATCCTGTTAATCCGATAAAAATCGCTCGAATTTATTCCTCCGCTTCTAACTCGAATCAACAACGTAATACCTCAAAGTGTTTCTAAAGATTGAATTGACCCTAATTCTTAAACCGCAAATCTCCGTATAATTAAATTTAGTTCAGTCGACGTTCGGGCACTGTTGCAGGGGTCAAACGATGGTCTTCAAAAGAAAAAGAGAATTAAGTGAAAGCTTTCCGCACTCGGCGGAAGGCCGACGGACCAATGGGAATGCAAAAACAGAGATAACGAAGGACCGGCGGGATTGCCGGTGAAGAAAAACAGAAAATTTGATTATACGAACGAAAAATTCTCCAACGAAATAATAGAGACTCTTTTCATTAACCTCTTCTTAGTCAAGTGACACAGAATTATACGTTTCTTAATAAACTTTATACGACAAAGGTATTTATTTTAAGAAAATTGTCGAGGAAACATTCGGATATTTCAAAGAAAACTGCAATCAGAAATGTATTTACCGCCCGACGTCTGAAACCGATTCAATTCCCGGAGGGCGAGCCGCGATTGCTCGGTACTCCGGATTTGACCTCTGTTCCTTGTCACTTTCAATACCTCGGTCGACGTTTTTCCGGAGATCCTCTTCTTTCGGATCGTGTCCGCGCGACCGAGAGATGGAATTCGCATGCAGGCGTATTCCCGATAGACGTTAAACCCATTTGCTCTTCATTTACTTCAATCAGAGCCCGGGAAGTTTATACCCCGGAGATATTACGTTGACGTGCTCGGTGTACCTTTGCTCGGGTGAAAAATTACGTCGGAAAATAGTTACGGAAACTTTACTAAACATACCTATGTACGTTATTCGCTGGCGAAATGATATTTTAAAAATAATGTTTTTAAATACTTCGCAAAATTTAAATATTTGTCATAAAATTATTTATTTACATCAATCATGTGCAATAATAACACATACTTACAATGTACATACAATAATAAAAATTGAATTTTACTAGTCCTTCTTTCGCTTACTATTTTGATTTCCAGTCAATCCTAACACACATTTTAAAAATCGGTAACTAACGTACGTCACAAGTAGTAAAATACTGACAATAAATAATAACACGTCCAATAAATAATATTGATAGAAAGGTAGATCAATCGCCGCTGATTTCATAAAATAGGCCCCCTTATGCCTTACCACGTATTCCGACCAATAAACCGCAGTGTCTAGAGGAGACATCGGCCTGTCGTTGAACCGATTAGAAAGCTCCTTCATATTATCACTGGAAAACAACCAAAGAAAGTCAATAATATTATTAATACGGAAATTACTCATTTGTATATTTACCTTAAATTCAAAGCTTTCGACAATGCTTCGTAAGCAGTTTCTTTAGTTATTTTTGAAATGGGCAGTATGACCGCTGCTCCAGTGGATTCCATGCACTTAGCGTTGTTGTGCTGGTCGCCGAACTGAGGGATAAGTACGAGTGGAACGCCACAATGGACTGCTTCCGTAATACCCAGGAGACCCGCGTGAGATATGAAGAGTTTTACATTGGGATCACCTAAAAAATATTCATTCCTTAATAACTGAAAAAGGATTTTGTGCTAGAGTATTTATCGGTGAAATCAAAGCTTACATAATAAATCGAGTTGGGGTATCCATTTATAGGGTAAAATTTTGTCGGTTTTTCCTTCCATGGTCTCAGATTCCCATTTCCAGATGACTCTTTGCGGTAGAAGTTCGAAGGCTTCGATGAAGGCTTTCATTTTTTCTTTGGGAAATGTGCTGCCTTTGTTGAATGAACCCATGCTGAAATATATCACTCCGTGTGGTGATTCGTCTACCCATTTTTTTAGTATCTGCAAAGAAAGTGAATTTATTCATTAATTTACAATTGCAAGGCGTGGTATAATTAGGGAAATGAATATTTTTAAAATGTCGTTATAGCATGTATTTTTTTTAAACGCAATTTTCCTGAGAATTTACAACAAAAACATTATTAGCATTGCATATAGATAATATATTTACATAAAATATTAATTGGTTATTATAAACTTATTAATTATACCTAATTACAAATCAAAAATTATAATGTAACAAATACATTAATATTAAAATAATGTATATTACCTTTGGTAGCACTTTAGGTTTCTTTAAATGAATACCACCAACTTCAATTGCATTGGGAACGAAAGGTCTCGATAATTTCATAGTGAAATGAGTATTAATAAACACCAAATTAGTCTTCTTGATGAAGGTATCCAAATCAGTAGCACTGTTACCGATATATTTTCTAATAATTTCCCTATCTTTTCTCTGTCTATAATGCGTGAAAAACATATGATTATAAACAAACACTAAAGTGTTCTGGAGGCGTTGAAGAAAATCCATCCTATCCGTTGAAGCTACCATGATATTGGGTATAAAAGACGGAATGGAAGGGATTCCGTAGCGACCTTCCATCCATGAAACTATTGCAGAAGAGCTGAAACCAATGATGGGCGCGTCGAAAGTGTGAGCAATGCTTAAGAAGCAATCTGTGTTGAATATTTCAGTGATAATGGCATCGAATGTATGGGTTTCACGTAGCAATTCTTGATATTTGGGAGATGATAAGCCTTCGCAGATTTTATCAGCCATTATCGATGTCAAAATAATGCCCTGGTAGGGTGTAAACATATCTTCCTTACCTTCGACAGTTATGTTCAACACTTCCATGAGTTTCGCAATGTCGTTAGATATATCTATGATTTTGTAATTGGGTAAATCACTTTTTTCTGGAATGCCGCTCACTAAAGTCACATTATGGCCTCTTTCAACTAATTTGTTTATTAATGGAGAAAATACACTCATGTGGCTGATCATTGGGATAGGAAACACGGCCAAATAATTGTAACATTGCACAAAACACCAAAAATTCGCAATTCCAATGAAATAAAAATAGCAAAATTTGAACATTTTTAAATTCTGTAGATATTGTTTAAAATAACATGCTAGCTAGGTTATAAAGGCTACCAGCAAACAAATTAGTGGGCTACATTTGTTTCTAATTTATATGCGTTCATTCACGTGATCGATTCTTTATCAGGAAAAAAATTTGAAAAGAATCCTTCCAAATATGTATTTGTACAAATACAAAAAAAAATGTTTAAATTCGTCAAAAGTCAGCATTTGTTATTAGTATGTTTGTAGCTATACCATGTGTCCAAGGTCGAGCGCTACATTTGTCCGCCGATTCATTGCGCCTCTCCACAGTTCGACTGATTCTCTCTTTCTACTATATGCAGCGCTCGACCTTGGATAAATGACAGAAACTCTCCTTACCTTAGGCAAAGGTTTGGGCTTGCCTACATGAATACCGCCGACTTCAATTACATTTGGCACGAGAGGAGCAGGAAAATTGATCGTATAATGTGTATTAATTAATAACAAAACATTTTTTGCTATGTAACTCTCCAAATCCGTAGCGTTACTACCGATATATTTACTAATCACTTCACGGTCCTTGACTTGTCTGCTATATTTGAAATATAAATTGTGCACAATTTTCATAAGAGTATTTTCCACGCGTTCTAAAAACGTTGTTTTAGATGATTGGCCTATCAGCATTGAAGGAATGTAAGCCGGATTCGATGGCAGACCGTACCGTCCGTACATCCAAGAAGAAAGCAAGCAAGAACTGAAAGATATAATAGGAGCATCGAATGTGTGGGAAATGCTCATGAAGCAATCGGTATTGAACGCTTCAGTAATTATAGCGTCGAAAGTATGATTTTCCTTCAGGAAACTCTGATATTCTGGTGATGATAGCGCTTCGCACATTAAATCTCCTATTTGAGAAGCTAACATTGCGCCTGTATATTGGTAATATTTGCCGTCGTTCTCATCGCTTATATCCATCACTTCAATAAATTTCTTTATGTGACTTGATATATCTACATTTCTGTAATTTGGTAAATTTTCCTTCTGCGGATACCCGCTGATGAGCGTCACGTTGTGGCCTTTCCTAGCCAATTCTCGCAAATACGGCGAAAACACTATCATATGACTATTTCCGAGCACTGGAAACACTGCTAAATAATTGTAACAATGAGCACAACATAACGCACATGAAAACCAAAATAACTTTCTCAAATCCATTTGGCTAGCGTACATTCATTGAATGTGATTAAACTCGACTGACGACTGCTTACTGCTCACTTAATAACATGCCGAGATATTCAACATCATGTGATTGGTTGCCGAAACAAGCATAGGAGTGCAATGTTTATGATCGCAACATGGTTTAATTTATGTAATTAATTATTTAACCGGTATATTTATCTAATTTTAGATGTACGATAATATTAGTGTAAAGGTTAGGTTTTTTAAATTTCCATGAATATCTAACGAGCGAATCTTGTTGATATATTAAATTTGTTGTATAATTAGATTTAATCGTAATATTGTTTTAGATATCAATCTAAAATTAATTAAAATCTTTTGTCGGATATTGAAAATAATTGCAAGTCATTATTTAAATTCCTTATCATTTTACTGAAAAAGTAAACATAGTTAAAATGCAATGAATTGACATAAATACCAACCATTATATCAACCAATTTTTAAGAGTATTATACAACTGATAACCGATAAATGATACCTATTAATGGACAACAACCAATTAACGACACTTGATTGAAGGTTAATTTTTATATTCATTTCGGATTTTAGAAAACGAAAAAAATCAATCTACATTATCTCTATAAAATAAGATATTTTCTGAATTCTTGTAGAGTAAACCATTTTTTTTTAATATATCTTACCTGAGGCAATGGTTTGGGTTTGCCTACATGAATACCGCCGACTTCAATTACATTTGGCACTAGAGGTGCAGGAAAATTTATAGTGTAATGCGTATTAACCAACAACAAAACATTTTTTGCTATGTAACTCTCCAAATCAGTAGCGTCACTACCGATATATTTACTAATCACTTCGCGGTCCTTCGCTTGTCTGCTATACTTGAAATATAAATTGTGTGCAATTGTCACAAGAGTGTTTTCTAAGCGCTCTAAAAACGTTGCTTTCGATGATTGATCCAAAAACACTGACGTAATGTAAGCTGGATTCGATGGCAGGCCGTATCGGCTCTGCATCCACGAAGTGAGCCTGCACGAGCTGAAAGATATAATGGGAGCATCGATTGTGTGGGCAATACTCATGAAGCAATCGGTATTGAACGCTTCAGTGATAATGGCGTCGAATTTATGATTTTCTTTGAGGAAATTCTGATATTGCGGTGATGATAGCGCTTCGCACATTAAATCTCCTATTTGAGACGCCAACATTGCGCCTGTGTATTTGAAATATTTACTGTCGTTTTCTTCGTTTATTTCCATTACTTCAATATATTTTTTAATGTGACTTGATATATCAATATTTCTGTAGTTTGGTAAATTTTCCGCCTGTGGAAAGCCACTGATGAGGGTCACATTGTGGCCTTTCCTAGCCAATTCTCGCAAATACGGCGAAAACACTATCATATGACTGTTTCCAAGCACTGGTAATACCGCTAAATAATTGTAACAATGGACACAACACAATGCACTTAAAAATAAAAATATTGTTGTCGAACTCATCTCACCAGCGTAAAGACAGTAAACAGCGTAAACTTCCTCTGTTGATTAATTAACAATACTGTATTTTTATACCGTAAACATTAAATTTCTTATCGCATAAATAATTTACAATAAAAAATTTTATTTTATCGCGATTACTTAGCACATTATAAATCACTCATCTGATCATTTGATAAATCATTTGATAAAATTTTGATTGTAACGAAGTATACCGAGTGTCCATGTTCGAGCGCTGCAAACAGTAGAAAGAGAGAATCAGTCGAACTGTGGAGAGACGCGGCTTCGTCGCGATGAATCGGCAGACGAATGTAGCGCTCGACCTTGGACACATGGTACGTATGGTTTGTCATATGTAAATCTCTTACGACGCGACAGATAATAATGAGGAATTCTCAATTCATAAGAACTTGTATGGTGAGAAACACGAGTGCCTTTATTACTAAAACAGGTTGTCTTGCCATATGTTACAGGGTATTTCGCAATATATTTTTTAAATAAAATATAAACTCCACTTAGCCAAAGTACTTCGATTTGTTAGCTAAAAAGTTGATAAGCAAGTTGTTACTACAATAATTGTTTGAATATAGATAGTTACATAAATAGATTTATGTATTTGCTTTTGATTCGATAAGCTATAATTTAATAGGTTAAAGTACTTACACCAAATAATAATTTCGGTTTTTCTAAATGTACACCTCCGACTTCAATCGTGTTGGGGCCGAGCGGGACGGGCAAGTTCAAGGTAAAATGGGTATTGACCAACAACAAAACAACTTTTTCAATCATCCTATCCAAATCCGCCGCTTCACTGCCTACATATTTGCTTATCACTTTCTTATCCATCGTTTGTCTGTAATAAGCGAAGAATATGTTACTGAAACCCAATAGAAGGGTATTATCTACTCGTTGGAGGAAGGTCATTTTATCAGTATAATCCGTAAGAACCACAGGAATGTAAGAAGGGTTCGTTGGCATCGCGAATCGATTAAACATCCATGGCGGCAATCGTGAAGAACTGAAACCGATAATCGGAGCATCGAATTTATCAGCAATGCTCAGATAACAATCACTGTTAAATATCTCTGTTATAATAGCGTCGAATGTTCCATTTTCCTTCAGTAGCTTTTGGTAGGGCCGAGAGGCTAATGCTTCACACATTATATCAGCCATGCCGAATAACTTCATTGACTCCGTGTACTTGGTGAATCTACTTTCCTTTGTCGACGTCGATATATTAACGAATTCGATTAGTTTCGGCAAGTAACCGGATAAATCAATGTTCCGGTAATTATCTGGAGCATTTTCTTCCGGAAACACACTTACTACTGTTACTTCATGGCCTTTTCTGGCTAACTCTCTTAGTACACCCGAAAATACCATCATGTGGCTTTTTATAGGGATGGGAAAGACTCCTAAATATTTGTAGCACTCCCCGTAACTCGATAAAATTAATATACTGAAGACGAGTTTTAATATTTTTAAGTAAAACATGTTTGCACTGACCGGTCTTACTGCCAACGGAGACACGTTAATTGTATTGACTGGTAAGCGAAGGAAGTTGATACTTGATACAGCGGTCGTACGGGTTCCAAATCAGGAACGTATTGAGAACATTTTATGATGCTCAAGTTTAATTACTGCTCCAACATCCAACACTACTTCGCTTAATATTTATAGATGGATATTTGTGTTAATAATATTGATAGATTTTAATGAAAGAGAAGGTAAATGAAACGGAATGTGCGTTTAGCAAAGTGCTAGAAAAATTGTGTAACGCTGTTTTTGTAAAATAATTAAACAAGGATTTTTTGAGTATAAGAATCCGTCCCTTTCGAGGCTATTTCAAAATGAAATTGACACGAAGCCAATTCTTACGTATGTATAATTCGCAAACTCGACAGTCCTTTAATTAGCGAAGGTCATAAATTGATTACTTGAAATAATTGAATTAGATTAATCTAAATCATTATACATTTCATTAAACAAAGTGATAACACAATGTAAATATGTATAACAATAAAATTTTTATAATTTTAGAGCGAATTGGCTAGACGATATAGAAATTCCTTGACAATATAAATTTGTCTAAATATTTTAGGTAAGTATTTGAAAAAGGGCACGGCACTGCGCTCGTGTTCTTTAATAGGAGTTAACCAGTTGTCGTGCTCAAGTGGAAGCAGGTGAATTTTTCCTCCTTTATAGCCTTTTATATTGAATCTTCATTACTTTTTAATGGTCCCGAAAGTTAATTACTAAACTGTGAATTCTCTAATTAATAATTTGGGATTATTAACGAAGTACATTTTGTTAGGAAGATTTTCAGGACTTTTTATTGGCCGTAAATTTCCCTGTAACGGATTTTTTCCTTAAAGGGTGGAAGGAAAAAAGGCGATCAAAAAGCGACCCGAAGGCTTTTAATCCGTTCAGTTTTAGCTTCGTATTAAAACCGATTAAAAAAGTTTAATGATTTTTAAGTTTATTTTTATTGGTGTAATTCCAAAGAAAAATGACATTTTAACACTATAGCCCGTTGATCATTTAAAATTTTCATTTAACTTTTTATTTTTTAAGCTTGTAAATTGAATAAAAGATAAATTAAGAAAAAATTATACTTACCAAACATCGCATTTTCTATTTCCATCATGATTTTGATGGTATGAGAAAGCCTTTACGGAGGAAACAATTAAAATGGAGAAAAAAGTAATAGGAGTCGTGAAAAATGACTAGGAACGTCGAGAACAACGAGTAATTCGTAGAAACGATTCGGAAAAGATTTGTGGAAAGTTAGAGCAAATTCCCCGCACCGAATTTAAAATAGTAATTTTTCTCAAAGCAGACCTCAACCATTTGTTTCCGAAGTTATTGAAGCCGCGGAGATTACACACGGCGAAAAGCTGGAAATGTGCCCGGACCTTTATAAGATTAGGAATTTATTTACTTTGGTTGCGGGCATAAATTTTCGGCGATTTTCAATTGGATTTGAAATTGTAATATCGCTTTACCGGTTTGTTGTTGGGGATTTAATTTAATGGAAACGTGTTCCACAAAGGTTCGAGTGGAAACGTAAAAGAAAAACAAACAACATTACACAAAATAAGTTAAGCTTTATTATACAATAATAGTAAATACGTCACGTAAATACAGTTTAAATACAGCTCACCACCCATTAGAAGCTAATAAATTTTTCAACATTACAATTTTGTTGGAAAGCTCACGAATGGAACAATGGTAAAAAGCTGTTTATTGTTCGTGTTATTTCTATTTCCAATAGGCCGAACGTGAATATTTCAATCCCTTGCAATATATCCATATTGTTTGGTAATCTTTAGCGTATGATACAAAATAGAAATAACTGAACGGATTGAATTATAATATACACTGCTCGAAAGATATGTATGTAACATATTACATTTTTCACCATAGAATTTTTAACAAAATAGTATGTACACTCTCGATACTAGTTAATAAAATTGCCCGCGATGTTTAAAGATAATAATCAATACATTATTTTTAATGAATTCATATAGGTTTACGTATAAGTATTAAAAATATATGCTTTTGAAGTTGCGGTCAATTTTAGAACTAATCAAACAAATTATGTACAAAATACTGAATATTTATTTTGGCTTGGTTAGATTTTTCATCCTGTTTTTCACTAGATATTAGGCTTTCATTATTCGATCATTTTGAAAATTAATTGTTTACTAATCACTCGTTTTATTTTAAGCTCTGTTTTAGGCCTTTATTTGTCTATTTATTTAGGCTTTTACTTCGATACCAGTTGCAAAAAATTCGTTGCCCCGTCAATTTAAATTTTAACAAGATTTATTTGATCTTGGTCAGAAGTTTAATTGAAAAGTATAATGTACTGAAAAAAGCAGTGATTTCAAAAACATATTGATCGCAATCGCTTATTAACAATAATAAATAAATTCGTATAAAAGTAGTGAAAACTGGGAGAAAAATCCGAAAAATTTTCAACTAACACTAAATTTGTTGCCTATCTAGGTTGAAACTTAAATAACTCCTTAATAATTAAATATCACTATAAGTGTTGAATTGTAATATTGTCATAACGTTGTCTGTACCAATATAGTAATGCTTAGAAAAACTGTGGGTACAGATTTTTGCCTCTGTATATCCATTAATTGAGTATAATGACCTTTCGAGGAAAAACAAGTAAAGTGAAATCTGCTATATTCAAAAGGAACCAAAAAAATCCTGCTGTAATTAATTGATGACTGAAAAAATTAATTTAATGGAAGCTGTAGAGTAATATTTTTAGGAAAACAGAGACAATTTGTATTTGTTTCATGCCTAAATTGTTTGAAATGTAATATCAGCAACGTAATATGTTATTATATTTGATAGTAATTGTAAATTGCGAATATAGGTATTTGATTGTAATCCATAAATGTATCTTCCCGTCTAATGCACAGGTAAATCATTTTGGTAGAAATTTGTTCACATAAAGTTAAAAATGGATTTTTTTGTATATTGTTTCAATGTTAATATAAATATTCTTATGATGATTGGATTTATTTTCCGAGGTAACACAAAAAATTTTATAATTTGAAATTTAAGCTCAATTTTGATTTTTCAATTTTCCCATTCTGTATTTTTAGGTGCTTTTTCACTGTAAGTACTTTTTGATTAAAAGACAAGAATACTCCAGGAAAAATCCTCATTGTCCAATGTTTCATTACCCAAAGGAAATGTTATTTTTAAATCATTCCCCTTTTGTGAACAAAATTCCACTTTAAGCCATTTCAAGGCACACCATCTTTATGATAATCGGCTTAAAAAACCCCCCTAATTACATTTTACATTGTTTAGATTGTTAGTCTCATAAAAGTTATATAGCCCAGTCAATCTAGAAATGAGTACAACAAAACTTTTTAATGCGAAAATAATTCGCTCTCCCATTTTTTGGAATATAACGAAACGCAAATTAAAATGAGCTTTTAGAGGTAATTAATCTTGTTGTTCGTTTCCCCTCGTAATTAATAAGTGTATTTTAGGTATAAATTTCGTCCCTCCCCGATGTAATTACAATAGAAAATCTAATATTGTGGACTGACTGGGCCAACTTCCGAGTTATTAAAAAATCGATAACCTTAATTAGTGTCAGGTCATGACGCTGTGCAATTTGTGGAGATTAGCTAACGTGGTCACGTCGTTAGGTTGGAGCCTCAAGGCTTCTCGATAGGAATCCGCAGCTTCACGGTATTTGCCGTTAAGGTGCAAAATGGCGCCGAGGTTGGTGTGACTTCTGGCGTCCTGAAACATGCAAAAAAAATATTATGTACATTTTGATTATTCATGTACCGGATTATTTATTTAGGACTAGTAGCGAATGGAATATTCAGAGCACTCGAATGCGATTTAATTATGCCTTTGTTATACGTTAATCGGGTTTTGATTGGTGATTGTGGCATAAAGTAAACGGATTGAAGCAATGCGATCGCATTTCCATAATTAGGTGCATGCACGTTTCGAAGCTGCGAAATCTGAAATAACAAGCACGTGCATCCGATTATCCGAATGTGTTGATTTCGACGAATCCCTGATGAATATTTTTGCTAAATCTATTGGTAAGTTGGTCAGTGAGTCAGTCACTTACGCTTTGCAAGGCGTATTTTAGTGATCTTCGAGAGAATTGCGGAAGGGAACATAATAAAATGCTAATTGAATACAAGTAGATCGAAAACGGAACACAAAAGGAAACGATTATATTAAAACGGCCAGTTTCGAGTTTCGCTCTTAGACGGGAACGATTTAATTTAAAATCGCTAAGTGTTCTCGATAATGCTTTTTAACGGGTTGAGTACTCGTTGCCGAAGACCGATCGACGAATTTAAACGCGATTATGGTTATTTTGCGCCCCAACTGGAAATTGAAAGAATCGAATTCGCCCGCAATTGAAACGAATTGAATAGATTTCTGCACGAAATACGATTATTAAAATTTCGCTGTTGTTTTTTTTACTCGTTGAGTATTATTGCCGTCGAACACGACATACAAACGAGTTTGTTTTATGAAATTATTTAGCAGTGAAAATTCATTTCCACTTTTCCCTGCTTTCCTATTACTATTATGAAGGGTGAATTAAGAGGTACATAATTTATTTCATCATTTAATTAGCAACAACAACCAAACAATATAACCAAAAGCTGCAACTAACGCTACACTAAATCCGTAAAATATTTAGCAAAGATTTTTGTATTTTCAAGGCTTCGATGGGGCTTTCGCCGGCTCATTCGAATCCCTTGATCCCTCCGAAAAGGGGAATCAGCAGAAATAATCGGCTTTGCTTACCGTCGGTTTGATGGAAACCGCCTTCCTGTACCACCTCTCGGCGTCCTGATAGCGGACGGCCTGCCGCATCGCCGTCGCCGCCGCCACCGCCAGCTCGTAGTCCTCCGGCCGGAGATCGGCCGCCTTCTCGTACATGTTCGCCGCCTCTTTGTAGCGGTGCCGCGACGCCAGGAATTCCCCTGTAACAAGCGAAACGCCCGTGGTTATTTTTAATTTTGCGGTAAATTGGTCAATTTTTGCACGGTTATATTCCTCTAGATTCTGTTTAGCTTCACATACGCATATCTCTTGGGTCAAGTAACCCATCAAAATAGCCCAGACTAAATAGGGTTATTCTGACGAAGGACTCTCGTGTGGATACTTCAGGACGAAATTTTAAATCTTATAATTACAATAAGCGAAATAATTTTCCAGGTGAAATTTATTTGTACCCATTATCTGCATAATATCTTTGGACTTGGTATTTTTTATTAACGAAACTTGGCGTTCCCTAAAAAGATAAACGCGCATTAAACATTACTAACGCCATTATTCTCGTCTCTACAACTGCATTGTGACTCCGCAGTCGGAAACTCTTTTTTGAATATATACGTCCTTTACAATGAGTGTACTGATAAGCTCGACAATGCTTCGGTTTTGTATGGATATAATTTCCTGGGTAGAGTCGAACCCTTTTGCAAACGCGTCTAAAGAACGAGCATTATTCATGGGGTTATTCAAAAGGAGCCGAGGAAGGTTTTTGGAAATGTTATGAACCTCATGATTTAAAAAACAACGATAATTGGACGCATCTACATTATTGAAATGCATGCGAGTTTTGAGTTTTTAATTTAACATCAAAATTTTCATGCATTTATGCTAATTAAAGCGTTGTTTGTATATAAAAATCATTTTCCGGAAAAGCCGTGGAACTTTATAATTTATTTAATAATGGCAATTAGTGTAATGTATTTTACTTGTCAACAACAGAAATGAGCTCTAAAAATAGAACTGTTCCAAAGAGACGTTATAATTTTCCTAATCGATCCGTAAATCTTATTGAAAGCGTTAATCAAGACTGTAATTAAATTAATTACAGCTTTTTAAACCTTTTTACCTTTCTTTTTCGTGACAAAAATTTTTAGGGGATTATAGCAGTAAACGTGTAAATTATACTGATTTAGAACATTCGTTCTTTTCTCACCGAATTAATCCATTAATAATTTGATTTATTGATGCTTTATTATACGTCATGAAATATTCCGTGATTTTTACGTTTACCATAAAAAATCTCACATTTTAGTAAACGTACCTTCGGTAAAAAAATATGAAAATCATCTTACATTTATACAGGCAAGTGATCTATTTTCTCAGCAAGAAATTAATTTTAATTTTCCCCAATTATCAACAGGATGTTGTTCTTGTTGCTATCCTCTTACACGAGCGAAAATTTAATCTGCAACTTAAAGCATCGTAATTATGCGAGTAATTTTCCCATTTTATTGGATATCCAGCGGAAAGTCTAGCGCCCGGAAACTCCGGGGCTTCGTCGAGAAAATTCAAAGTGTCGCACGGACCGTCCTTCAAATTCACGCGGTGTAACGCGGCGCAGTCGTTTTTTACGGAGATGAAAGCCGCCAATTTGCATGAATTTGCAAGTGTAGCACGTGAGGAATCTTCAATTTCTCTTCGGAGATGTTCCGACGTCTCGAAGGGAATGTAGAAGCCGGTTAACAAGAGAATCTGGAGGCCGCCGCCGCAGCCTGGGGACCGGTATTCCGGCGGCCCCCGTTCGGCAACTTATACCATAGAGGAGGCGAAGTTATTGCGAACGGGGCGCGAAATAAAAGAAAAAAGAAGCAGGGAGAAAGGACAATGTCGAGGAGACTGTATTAGTTTTTTTTTATAATTTTTCATAATTTAAGAAAGACCGTAAAAGTAATGGGTGTAAAAGGAATGTTAGAGATAAAGGAGAAATGTTATTTAGTATTTATAGAACGAAAAGTAGATTATGGAAGGTTGTTGTTTTTGCATGTGAAGTAATTTAAAGTATTAGGTAATGAAATAATATGCAAAAAAGTGCCTGGAAAAAAATTTTAACACATAATAAACTAAATTGTTAAAGTACCTACATAAATTTCTACTTATAGCTTATAAATAATTTCAGTAAACGTATATTAATGCACTAAATTATTTATACGGTATTTCACTCGTGTACGGTGCCTGATTATCATAATAATAAATAGGTACAAAAAATATATATTTCGAATTTATCGCAAGTCATATGTGATTCGACTACATTACACATTACACCGAATCCGATTCAGGGCGAATTACACCAGGAATTTCCAACGTTTTACATTATCGGGCGCTTTGTCGGGCGCGGCGGCGGCCTATCCCCGGCATCACGGCCCGAGCTTCATTTCCTCCCTTAAGTAGAGAGAACGACATCGAATCTCTTTTATGGCAGAAGAAATTGAGGCAAAGCTCGAAAATATACCCGGCGAAAAGGGAGCGCGAAATCGCATACAAAATACAAATCCCGCAATAAAAAGATTGCCTTCGAAATGGCGTACTTAGACGATATTATTTACATGCGAAATTTTAACGGTCATAATCCGGCCCTTGAACGGATCCGAATACACGCCTGAATGATGCGAATAAAGTCGGGTTTTATCCGCTAAACTTGATCGATTTGTAGGCATTATTTTAACCTACCTATACCTATACAGTTAAAGAGTTTTAAAGTTGATAGATACATACAAACTCTGCAAAAGGTGTATTAAATAATTATTAAATAATTATTTATTTGCTTGTTAAATTCCTATAGTACTTACCATAATGATGGAATACGCTTGGATCTCGAGGAGCAATACGCTGAGCTTTCCGAAACCACTGTTCGGCCTCGGCGACTCTGCTTATCTGCAATCAAAAATCCCATTTATACACTCTAATTAACTTTTCGAATCTGCGCTTAATTCCGCTCATATCAAAAATAACCGATGGCGAATTAAAAACTCTTCCGTACAATCGAATCCGATATACGTTCGCGTTTCATATCATGGAAATAACCGTCGCGTTATTTGCCCGCATTTAATTTCCTCCGTGACGCCGACCTTCGTATGTTGACAAAGGGGGTAGAAATTCGCGTTCGTGGAGCCTCTAATGGATTAGATAAACAGCGACGAGGACGCCGCAGAAATTTTATTCCGGCCATAACTTTCGGACAAACCGTTATTCAAATTTACAATGAACGGCGATTAAAGGGAGTGAGGAATGGCACTATTTTTCGGGCGCAAATTGCAAGGCCGTCGGAGTGGAGTTTTACAAGAGATTTTCGCACTTACGTTTTTAGCGAGCAGCTTCCCGTAGGTGATGTGGGCTGGAACGTGGTCGGGTTGAGCGTGTAGAGCAGCTCTGTACCATCTCTCTGCCTCCTCGTCTTGCTCCAGTCTCGCCAAGGTCTCCCCCAACACGTTGAACACGCTCTGAAACAACGGGGAGGTTCGCCGTAAATCAAACAGTCACATGGGTAAATATTAGGCCAAACATGCAGAAGTAAACAGGGGCGTATTCGATAAATTTAAACCTAAGATATGAACTGGTAAAATGTTTTTGTGTGCATTTAAGTCAGTCTAACGTCAAATGAACTTCTAGGGGATCCATCCAATAGCGCTTATAAGGAAGATGTTAAAATTCTCGACCGATTTTATATCGACCTAATGGCTAGTGTCTGGAATATATTAAAGTTTTATGGCTTTTTTCGTGTACTCAAATAGACCATTAAAACCCCGGTAACCAGTTAAGCTCTTGTAGTTCGAGTTGAGATAACGCCTGTTAAAAATTTCATGATTATAGTGACATAAAATTCAGTTCGTTACATACCCTCAGGTTCCAATTGAATTTATACGGTTTTTATTAGCTGCTCCGAGTAAATAAGAATCAATACAGAACGGTCGCGGAGATTCGCCGATTTATTACTGCATCCATAATAAATTACAGACGCAGATATTAGAATTTTACGAGAAAATTTATAGGCAGTTAAAGTACTAGAAGTTATTGTTAATAAAGCGAAACTGTCGTTTGCAGGACTCGCTTCATTTCGGTTGTAAAAAAATCAAATGCATAGCGTTAGAAATTCAAAGGTTCGCTTTAAATAATTAATGCTTCATTTCCCTTATGCTGCTTAAAAATAAATATGAGCTTGCGTTATTCCAACACAACATCAATCAGTTTCCTCGCCTAAAATTCTACGCTGAATGAAATATTCATTGTTTAAAAAAATACCAGTATACGGAGATACGGGAATGACTGCAGTGGCACAATGTAGGCCATAAAACCCGCGTTAACACAATAAAAATATTAGTAGAATACCTACAACACAACTTCACTGAATACTTTACTTCGTTGTTAGGAAGTAAGCAAATAAGCCAGAGACGGATTTGCATTTTAATGTGAATTTCCAGAATTCATTCAACCATTTCCTCAACTCAATATCGGTAAACTACGATGTATAACATATTTTTGACGTATATATGGCATTGAGCTGCAATTAGAATTGTTGAAGATTATTCTGGCGTTAAATTCTCGGCAGTTCATAATGAGCAAATGTGCGTATTAAGGGCTTTCTGGATTTCAGAGGTAAATAATCCAGTCGTTCGATGTATTGAAAAGTTATAAGCCCGGATTAGCGAAGTTGTAAGCTCCGACGATGTATTTTATAGATTTTCCGAGCGGATTGCGAGCAAGCAGTTCGAGTGATGGGTCAACCGGATTACAAAATAGTAGGTACTTAATGCACAAATTTCAATTTTGCAGGATTTGTGTAACAAAAACCGTCCCTTATTAGGTATACAGTAATACCCTAGGCAAACGCAAAAGCACGTTTATGTATAAATTAAAGATCGAATTCGGAAGACAATGATGTAACGATATTGAAACTAACCATGAACAAAGCTACTTCAGCTGGAGAATAGGGGAAATAATTGATAGTATTCCGAACAATGTACTCAGCCTTTCCCAAAACGAATTAGTTCAATTTTGAATATCGGCGTGCTATTTCAGATATTAATTTATAGATAGATATCGATCCGATAATACCTACATCGAGGGTTTGATATCCAGGAACTGATTTATTGGTAAAATCATTATAAATAGCTCTTGTTCAAAGCAAGAGGTATTTGAAATTAAACAAAAAGCCAATTCATCAGTCGTAAGGGCGTTTTTCCACGAATGAAATAGAGTTATAATTTATTAAACATCATATGTATACATATTCTAAAAATTCTTTCCTTTAAACTATATCCTTTATTCAACGTGATTATAATATGGAATACGTAAGTGATTATAACTGAAGCAAAAATCGAAATTGCGTTAGAAATAAAATCCGGCGTTGATGTATAATCCTCGGATTCTCCGTATACCGTAGACACGAATAGATCCATTTAAAATTTATATTCTAATTCGATTATTTCTCATCCATGACAATATATCGTTGCTAACTTGATTTCCCTAAGGAAATTCGGAAGTAATTAGTTTACTCCCCGTGCATGCATGAATATATTGCGAGAAAAATTTTATAAAGTAGATACCTATTTACGCGCTCCCCTGCTAATGGAAATATTGTTAGAACGTTCCCTTATTTACTGTTGTTAGATTAATCGATGGAGCCACCGTATTTAATTTTCTTTAGCTTCGTAAAAATGCTCTACATTATTCAAATAAAAATCGTCCGGAATGACAAAAAAAAGGGATTTTCTCTTCTCCGTTCGAAAATATTCGAACAATGGAATAGTATTAAATTGATTGACGCATCGGCTTTGAATACTTATGTGGAATTCTAGTATTCATCAAAGCTCGGCTCAAGTTCCAGTTCGATGCAGGAATGCGAGAGCGAAGATCCGCTCTTTTTTCGAGCCCGGAATTCCTGCTGTAAATGCATTCTGAAATTAGTTTTCATCCGAGTTTAATTTTTATTTCGAAATTGCTCCTGCGACGAATTCAGGAGGTGCATGTAAGCGCGGCGTAATAACGGCAGGGACGGGGTATAATATTCTTTTATATGAACAAATATGCGTTATAAATTAGCATCAATAGAAACATACAATATTACTAAATAGAAAATTCCATTCCTGCGAAACGCAATTTAGTTAAAATTAATTTGCGCGATGTATTTCTCTCTAAGAAGAATTCGTATTATTTTCATAATACTCGGGAAAATGCTTCAGTAATGAAAAATTTACGTTGCACTGTTGCAAATTTTTTACACGCGAATTATTCAAGAATATTTTTAGGGTCATCACTGTACTACTTTTCTCGCATAGACGGGTTTTTAATTAAAAACATTCCAGAATCCCTAGAGTAATTAATATATTAGAAAAAATGAGTTGTCTGCAATACAATAGCAACAAAATCAATCTAATTAAGTTCCTACGCGAAATTTCTTATTTATATCTTATCAACCCTCTTTGAAACATTTTACCAATCATTAAATTCGACTGCCCATCAACTTTCTTATACCATTTAGGAACTTATTTACAGCAGATAAACTTTTAGATTGCCTCCATTAGTCAAATCCCACTAGGTTATCAAATTTCTTTTGCCATCAAATTGTTCCGAAGAATATTCATGACTCGCAGAGCCCGGTTATCCTTACTTACCATGCAAATTGTGTTTCGTTTTGAGCGAAAAAACGACTCTAAAAGAACACTCCCCCGTACTTTCGAGTAATTACAAATTAATTACCGGGGATTCAGTGTCGACTGGAAAGGGAATTTCATAAGGAAATCCTTAATTGAAGCATCTTCATTAAAACCTGCTGCTAATTTCGCTACGAAAAACTATTATACGACGCTTGTAATAAACGCAACACGTCCAAATCCGAGAATAGAGTTTGTTAGAAAGGTAAAATTTGTAGTAAAACTTCGGAAGTATTCAATAAATTGTAGTTGTAATATTTTCTCTTTCGATACATTTTCTTTATACCCGACACTCCATTTTCATTAGCCGATATCTTAGCGGATCAATAACAATAAAATTACGTCAGAGCGGCCGACCGTCGGCGTAAGAATAAAGGAAATAAACGTTAATCGCCCAGTCTTTAGATCCACGGCCAGGCCATCTGGTCCGGGCTCTCCGCCAAATGGGCCCTTCCGAAAAAATGGAGAGCTTACCGATAATCACGCTAAGTGCACGAAGGTTTCGCGCGAGAAACGCGTCTCTCTCATATCTCAAACGAAATGTAATAACCATTATTGCACCGCTCGTTATGCTTTATATTCGTTTAATTCAATTTATTTGTCATCGCCGAAGTGGAGACGCTTGTTTAACGAACGGCAGTTTCGCAGGAGATTAGCCGATATTTTCGCCTATTCGTTGGAAATTAATCGTAATAACTAATAATTTCGCTTTTATATCGTCGATAAATCATGTTTCTATTTCTTCGTTTTGGTTTGGGCTTAAATTACAACCAATTTTTTACTGATCAATTATGTTCGGTAGCATTCAGCGTCGTTTAGATTGTATAATTTAGGAGTAATGAAATTTCTAGTACCTAAGGAATTGCTATAAACTAGTACCCTGAGGAACCGGGCTACAACGTTGCTATAGCTTTACAAAATGGATGTTCTTCCAGCCATTTCTGCATAATACAAAAGGCTTTGTATATTGTCTCAGATATTGCCGAGTCGTAAAATGCAACTTCCGTTCGGATTCGTCAGTTCTTTCGACGCATTATAGCTACTTTGCACTCTCTTCTTGCCTGTCGTTTTATCGTCCGATACGCCCCTATTTATAAAAGATCTTTTAAAGCTGTTAAGCCGCGAGTCTTTTTATATAAACTTCAATTGCCATTTGCTCCGGTTCGTCGCGTTTATCGATATTTGGCACGGCTGAAACAAAGTCATTCAACACACTGTATGTAAATTTAGATTTATTAAGGCAAAGTATTGATGAGATAACCGCAAAGACACCCGTCGAGCGATTCGCTCTATTACAATAGGCCGTCCCCTCGAAAATTTGTCGGATACCAAAAGTTTCCTGAACTCGTCTTAATGTCGGCTTTTGGGGTCTTAAACCCGAGCGCGATTTAGGGAATATTGCTTCTAGGGGTTGCAGGTAATCCTGAAATATGGCATGTTATAGACGAGCGGCCGTTAGTCCGGCCCCAATCACTACGACCGGCCTAAATATGGAATCCGTCCCATCTCCAATTTGTCATATCGACGGGTGACCGGTCGTCGAGTCCTGCTCTAATTCCACCCGTCGAACCGCAGGATACGGTTTTAGCCTTTATCCTGTTGACGTGCGATTATGTTATGACAGAGGTTTCTAATGATTTGCTATTTGTTATTCCACTTAAATGTTTTGTTTGGATAATCATACTAACTCCTGCAATCTGGTTATGGTTTCAGGTAATTTTTGCGTTCCAGCATTGCTTTTATTATTTTAATAAGGGGTTTGAAATATCTTCTGGTATTTCGTAAGTTCTGTAATTTCCAAGTTTTCACATTATGTATATGTGCAACAACGCAACCCCTTCTGCAGCGCAATGCGTTATGAGCACATCCATCGAGATTTGTAATTAAACATTATAAAATGTAAATGTTGAGCATATTTATCTAAGTAATTGAATGCGCAAAATAATAATTCATTGAAACAACACTGAATTTAATTAAAATTAATAACCTGTAGCATGTCAAAGTGGAAATGAAAAAGAGATTGATATCATTCCGTTTATTAACAGACCAACAAAAAATGATAATATAAATTTAATATAATTTAATAAATAATTAAATTTGAGTAATATTTAGTTATTTTGCAAAAAAATTATATCTAGGTATCATAATTTTATATTGTAATTATTAATTACAGTATGAATGAACAATTATTAACCTATTTTATAAATTAAAAGTAATAGAGAGATTTTTGTATACACGTGGTACTTGACACTGTTATTCTCATTCTCGAATTTAAATTAGTTTGTAAACTCTGCTACTTCCTTTACGAAGTTTTCTCGTTTGAAGTAGTTTTAAAACTAGCATAATTTTTAAGTAGTTCTTCGGCCTTATTCCAGTCAGGAATTACTTAGGTTCTAATTATGATATAAAGGATGTAAAATTTGTTTTTAATGCTCTTCTAATTACTATCATAAAACCTCATATTAGATTAAAGTTGGGAGAGATACCAGAACTTCCAAGTTTCCTGCAAATCCTAATGAAAGTATATGATATAAATGGCGAAGAGGTAATTTTGTAGTGTGCAATAAAAAAAAACTTGAGGATATATATTTGTTTAATTAGGGCCATCAAAAAAATCAGCTGGATCCAAGAAAAAATCGCTTATTCAATACCGACACCGAATTCCCGATTAAAAATTTTACGTCCCCGAAAACCGACCATTCCCATGAACATCTCCGGAAATTACTACGATTTGATGGCTCGAAATCGTAAAAGCTGAACGTGTAATCTGCATTTTAGTATCGAATTTTCGCATTTAAACGGCAAAGAGCCTTTTTCGACCGACTTTTTTTTCCCATTCCAACGCGGCGCTACCTGTTTGACGTTAAACTAATTACGATCCAATATACGACGCTACACGAAACTTCATGCAGCAGGATTGTATTAATACCTTCGATGTCGGTGAATTTTTTGATTTCGCTGCAGTAATTAGAGGGACGGGAATTCGAGTGCATGCCAATTTACTCGTTGGGGAGATAACGAATTTACGAAGTTAATACATTCTTTTTCGAAATTGAAGTAATTTGAGTGAGGATCTGGAATTATGTCTTCTATAGTACTTTATTTTTTCGCGCCCCAACAGTATTACAATTGCTATAAAAATATCATTGTGCTGATGCTCGTCAAGAGTGATTTTTAATCAAGCGAAACGCAAAGAAATTAAATTTGGAAATTAGTGAAGTACAAAAACCTTGCATTCGCCCTTTTGTACCGCCAAATTTCCTTCAATTACTCTAACAACAAGAGGCTATTCACGTCTTGTTGTACAACAATTGTGTATATTAATTCCCCGGAGTTTAATTTCGCCGCCTTCTCCGTTCCTCCTCCGTTATTAATTTTATTATAATCGCCATTTTGCCGTGGCGATGAAGTTTGCATTACATTCTCCGATTAGAGCGCGCGAATTGCAGGAACTTTCGGCCCCCGGACTATGTAAAAATTATGCAAATTTCTGTAACATCGAGAGCCTCTTTTGCTCTCGTGCGGCAGAGCAGGGGTCCGCATAATTGTATCGATGCGAAGGGTAGATAAGCATTCTTCACATGCCCCTTTGTTGAGGTTTCACGTAAAATATTTATTCTTTCGTGCACTTACTTCACACGACTTAATTTTCTTAGGGCCCTTCGGTTTCGAATGGTAACGCAAATTTGGTTTTAAGTTTCCGTATTAGGTAACAAAAGGAGGCTCTGAGGCACTTACCTGTGGAGGATAATGATTCGGTAAGGAATACGCAGCTTCCCTGTAAGCTGCGAGCGCCCGTTGGAGTCTCCCTTGATCCGAATAGAGGGCGCCTAGTTGAAGAAGGGCTGATATTTTGGCGGTTTCGTGCTCTTTCCGATCCTTAAGTCCGGTACCGTCAAGCCGAGAACCCTGCCGAAGGATCGATACCGCCTCCTGGCATCTACCAGCAGATATTAAAGCTGTTCCCAAATTCACATAAGCCACTGTAACAAATAAAAGTTAAGAGAATCTGAAATTCTGATATAAAAAATCCCGTATAAAAATAATATTATATTATATAGCGTAGCTAGCAAGTAGATGTAGTATTTTTAAGGCGTATCTGACCGTAATAAAATTTCCGATTTGAATCGGGTTTTCCTTTACGGCCCACGTGCTCTCCGCGAACGTAAAAATAATAACCTCGCAAGAAAATTTTACGAATGAAATTTAATGAGCTTTTCCTTTGGTGGAAAAGCGACGAATGAGCGAGTTCTTTGGCGAAAATGCAGAATCGAATTTAACGGGGAATAAGACCAAATGAGAAGCCATTTATTTTTAAAATTCAGTACGAATAACAAGAACTTTGATTAAAAAATTAGTTAATTACTTATAATAGGTAATAGTTGGGAATATGTAGGCATTAGTGGAAAATGTACATATTTTTGTCTGCGAATTTTCGAAGCGAAAAAAAAAATCAAATTGCTATTTTTTTGTTGGAACGCTTTTGTAACAGAAGGTGACGATTTAATTCAATTTAAGAAGATACATTAAGTCTACGGACTTGCTCGGCACGAATGAAGATTAATGAATATAAATGAATAATAGGGAATACGTGATAAAATGAAAGAGACATTAATTTTTAATTTATCCTTCCCTGTCACATTATTAAAAGATCCTACGACACGGAAAGTAATGGATGGGCCCCGGCTGTTTTATATGCCAATTCAAAATGTGTTTTACGAAGAAAACAATTTGTGTAATGGATTTTTCTGCATTATCGTAATGATCAAAGTTTTTAATTTGAAACCGGCTGGTTTAGTTCCATTTTCCGCTTTATTTTCGGAGTAATATCGTTTAGGGTTGGATTTATTTTACCTAAATGTCTTTCCCATTTTGTGTGTGGCACGAAGACTAATTATACTGTGCAGTACTTTTATATATTTTTATCGAGTCGGAAAATAAGCCAACTCCACCAGAAAAAAATTGGAAGACTTTTAGGTGATATTATTCCCCATAAAGGAAACTATCACCATCCGCTTTTTCCTTTATTATCCCCGAAACTTTTCGGGGTCGTGTTTCTGCTTCCCCAAATCGCTTTACCTACAATTCTTCCGTACAATAAATATAACTTGCTACAAATAGACCATAATTTAGATTGTCTTCATTCTAAAAGAAAGCCAAATCGAGAAGAACTTAATGAAAATCCCTTTAACGCGAAAACTGCAAAACTTAACCGAGATTTCTCTCTTTAATTCATTCGGGTTTTCCCAAAGAAAAACAGAAGAACCCCGGCGAAATTAAGAAATCATTAGAGGTTTACGATCTTCCTTACAAATTCCGCTCGGATCGAAAAATCGCTAACTTTTACACTTTAGATAAATATTTTAGCGAGTTTCGTGCGCCAATAAAAAAACTTCCAAATACAATTAAGAGCGTTGATTAAACGTAAAAGGTCGAAGAAATTAATTTATTATTTACAACATTACATGTTACTGTCGATCTGTAGATAAAATTGTTAGTCTTTAATGGACGTTTGATGTATATGATAGAATAGCGTAACGTTATTTTTACGTATTCTAGCGAATACTCCTCAGCTTTTTCTCAAATGCCGGAAATAAAAGAAAAGCCTATTAAACTCAAGACATTTTTTTTTAATCCGGAACTTTATTGTAGGGAGAATTTTATTGCGTTCGCGTCCGCCTCGGCGGTAAATTCGCTCAAAGCGACGAAGGAATATTGATGAACAGCATCTAAAATGTCAAATTATCTTGCAATCAAAATCCTTTTGGAAATCTTTTCATATTTTCGCGGAACAAGCACTCATAAGCCCTGCCTGTGTGTATCCCTCGGAAGGGCGTCCCGGGAGGACGGCGTCTTCATTTCGCCTTTCGAGCAATAAAACTCCACCGCCGGAACGCGTTTTGCATAAAAATATGTCTCGGATGAAGGAGTGATTCAGTCCAGAGATATGAATTGGCGTTATTAAGGAATCCGAATGTTAAATATCTGCTCGACGAGTTGCCGCAACGAGGACTCGTTAAAACAGGAAATGGAAAGCCACCTTTAACCAACCTTCTACTGAACGTTTCGTTTGGAACAATTTATTTTGACCCGCTTTATGAAAAACGGGCAATTTCTCAACTAATGTGCTTTTAAAATAGAATAAATGTCGTTGAAGTAAACCTGCGTGAACTTTTTTATTGCATTTTTTATCATGATTATAAAGTAAACTCCATATACACATACTCGCACATTGCAAATAAAGAGCTTTTTAATATCGTAATATAAAATTAGGAGGAAAATAAATATTAAATTAATTAAATTAAAAAATATTCACGATCTTTAATTTTGAACTTTAGCAAACTTAATACAAATAATCGAGCTTTCGGCTTCCGAAACGGAGTATCTCCATGGCAACTTTATGAATTCGTAGTCGCGGCGTTATCGTCGATATCCTTTGCGTTTTATCCACTTCTTCAATTATTACTGGCGTAATTAGATTTTCAAAATATGCGCCAGATGCGATCCCATTCTTCGCATGCCACTGTCGATCGGGGGATCCTTTTCTTTAATTTGCATATTTTCGATAAAAGAAATATCCCCGAGTGCCTGTATATAGTGGCGTGCGCTTAGCGCTTACTCCCTTAGGGGTTTTATTAATATTATGTAGAGAGGATTATGCAGATCGGTTTCTATTAAGTGTACGAATGAGGGTCGGTTTTCGAACTTATTGCTAGAACAATCGAATTGTATTGTGAATGTTAGAAGGGAATTATTTAAAAAAATGGAACGCCCCGGGTGGAATAAATTGATTTCGCGCCACCGCATATCCCCGAGACTCGATAGCATCTCCGAACTCCCACTAACATTTATTAGCATGAGAATCGCATAATGATAAAGAACCGGCAATCAAAACCCGAAAAAAATATGCAAATCGGCATATTCAAATGCTCCAATCGACCATCTACGGACAAGCCGGCATGAATTCGATTCCTTTTTTGCGGGCTAGAGCATTATATTATACAAAATGGATACCGTTTATCGGGCAGAGAGACCACTTCCGACGATGGTCCTTCGATATCCGAGCGGTGTATGCCGTTTATGTCTATTCATATTTTACAAAACGTTTTTTGGCGGCGGAGCCAGTCGATACATGTATACAGAAAGAATTGGGTTGTCCCGGAGAGATATTGTTTCGGATATTCGAGGTAGAAATAAATTGGAAACGTATGCGAATGATATCCCCTGGAAATCGAGATCATTTTATTCGTATAACATTTAAATAGATGCATGGGAATTCAACCGACTCGTTCGTTTGTCTTATATACGGCTATTACTTATTTTCATTGCATTGTTTCATCCACAAAAGATAACACGTCGCTTCTGGCGCGACTTCAGCACTCCATCTATTATCTCTTGCTGCACAATTCGCGCGAAAAAAAAACACCCGGAGCACGTGAGCCCCAGTCTATACGGAGCTTCTTCTAAACGTTTCATTGTTATTCCGGTTTCGGTGGAAGGCGCAGCGCGACTCGAACTCGCAACTCGAAACCTTTCCGCATTATTTATGTACAATTTCTTCCTGCCTTTCCGTCTCCTCGACTGTATATTTCCATCAGTTCGCTTAATATTCCTCGCCGTTTCTCTCGCTGGTTTTGTCACCTCTGGATCGGCCGAGGATAAGCCCTATATCATCGGATTCTAATGTTTTGCGGCTTTAGCCAGCCAAAAAATATTCGCGAGTAAGAGCCAGATTGATTCGTTTTGCTACTACGATATTAAATTTTTGTGTTGTCAAATTTTTCCCTATACTTTTTAAATAAACAGTAAGAAATCAAAAATCCCTTGGATCGATTATTGCTCTTTAGGAGTTATAAATGGATATTTTTGTCAGATACAGATTTAGCACGCTATCTAACGTATAGTATCTGCCGAAGGAAAGCCATCCAGTTTGGACTGTTTGATCCCTTTTATCCTTTAATTAACCGCGTTCGCAAATGGATTTGCAGCCGCCTCCCAAACCATCGCGATCTGTCCATTATCATTCGTCTAAAAACGTTTCCATTTATCAAGTCGTATGCCGGCTAGCAAAACACAGTGGATACCATGCCTTCACACAACGGACAGTTCTAGCCAGCATCGAATACTGATTTTTTAAGAAATTCTACATTAACATGAAAAGTTCTATTCACAACCATGAGTCGTGGTTACATAGAAATAGATTATTTTATAAACTGGACATTACTAACGCGCGTTAAAGATATTTAAATTTGTATAGGTAGGAAGTAATGCCGGTCATGATGAAATTATGTCCACCTAATTATAGGAAGAGGAATGCCGGGCAACGCACTGATTGTTGTGGGAATTTCTCTGCCTCCGATTGAATTAGGTTTCATTAAGATGGCAGCATTTGAATTAATTTGATGGAAGGGTAGCGTCGGAAAAGGGTCCTTCTGCGATTTGGCGCCCGTACTGAAGGGATAGTGACAACTTTTCGGGTTATTTTGAGTGATTCAATTTATTAATGCGCAAGTTTCAGTTGTACGCTATAACCTAGTTATGTCGTTAGAGGCGCAATTTGAATTTACACCGCAACTGCTCCTTTACAATGTTAGTTTTATTAATTTTTGCCTTCCCTCTTCGTGCGTTCGCGCTTCTTAATCACATCAGGCTTGACGATTAATTTGTCCTAATTCAAGACAAAGATACTAATTTCGGCTGATTAAACAAAATGGTAACGAACACATTAAATTAATTAAATATTTTGGTTATCACAACTCAACTCAACTCGCACACCCTCGGCGGGTGAATGGTTTTTGTGTGTGGAGCAATAAATACATCCAAAAAGTTGAAAAAAAAAACCGGCACGTTATATATCGGACGGGTCCGGAAAATACGCCCAAAGAAATAAATGACGTTTGCGTCTGTGGTCCCATTTGTCTGGCGGCATTGCGTATTTTGTTCATGTTCTAGCCGGAGACCAAGAAAATAATATGTGAAATTGGGAATTTCATTTCCTAACATGTAACTTTAATAAAACGTCCCGCGACGTAAGCCATCCCGTTTGATGTAAGTAAGCTTTAACTTAGAGAATACCGCAATATTTCGCTCTTTAGGTCGTATTTCTTGACTTCTACTGTAAATTATGGCGCGGGATTTGCCGAATATGAAGCAAAATATATAACTATAAAAAAACGAGAAAACGTGTACAGCAAACTCAATTGAATTAGGTGAATATATCAAACGGGGTGTATTCTCAATTATTTAGGTAATAAGAAAATGTTATCCAATAACGGCGTCGACGTCTTTTCCTTTCTTACACGCGGTTGAAGTCGAATCTAGTTTAATGATCAATTTGAATACACGCATAAAACTTGAGCGTACTAACGTCTGAAAGGTTTATCTTATATTTCAAACTTTTATAACTAAAATCTTTTCGGGCTTTTACGAGTATTTCTTTTTTATGGTGATGGTTGAAGCAGCTGTTGCGTTATTGCAGTACATAACAGTTTGAGATAAAGAAAGACAACAACAATATGTTGCGTATATTTTTTATCAACTCGCAGTGAGGTACTTAGCAACTATGAAGATCAAAATTTGAAAAAATATTGTAAAAGTTTAATGCACGTGCAGTTACTTTTTAAATCGAATGAAACAGAAAGAATGTTTTATTGGATTAGGGATAGTTCGACCTTCCTGCGAAGAGATTAGGCGTATCCTCGTTTTCGGGATTTTCAAGTAAATTATTGCCATACAAAGTTGTTAACACGAAGCTTTATCAAATGGAGGGTTTAATTCAGCGTTTTCACCTCCCTTAACTCCATTACACCTTTCAAGGTTTCCGCATTACATCGCGGTCGAACGCTTTAACTCCATGAATTTTTTATTCGACCCCCGCCGGTTTACATTTACCGTACAGTCGATACACCTACAACATCCTCTGCATTTCATAAAATCGCTAAATTCGTATATATTTTTTTTGTAAGTACGCTAAAAAATAATATTCCGTAAAACTCGGAAAATTCCATGAAGGAATTACATCCCAGACGTGTCGTCGTTTCCCGTCTTTTTATTATTTTATTTCTGTATATGATGTCGGCATTTTCCCCAAATATATGGTAATAATCGAAAACTTGATTCTACCCACATTCTAGAAAATATCTTGTTCGTTCGATTCCCGTATTCGCGGCCAATCGCATTTGAATACGGTGATTTGCATATATTTTTCTCTTTTACAGGCATTTTACTTTGACATATTTCTAAATATAGTTCAGGTTTTAGTCCAGGAGGAATATTAGAAACTATTTTAGCATTTATTCCAATGGCACCATAGTTATAAATATTGTTTATTGTAAAAATGCACTTTTTGTATCGTAGGAATTGATAGATTTATAGTGTGGTGAAAAATATTCAATTACGTGTGAAAGTTTTTGAACGTGCCCCCGAACTAATGAATTCGATAAAACATCCAGGCTATCGGTTTGAATCGATATTCTCGAAGTGGTTATTTTGATAAATGCGAATAAGACGGAATATCATCAAACACTTTTCCCGGCTCCCTTTTTCATATTTCACGCGATCGGGTGACTTACTCTCGTATTTTTTGCCTCGCAAAAAACGTTTTGTTCTACTACCAGGCTTATCTTCTGCCGGGATATTGAATTATTCGGAAATTTTCGAGTGCTAATATTTCTCGAAATGATATCGCCCGACTTTATTGAAAAGTTATCCCGCTTCTTTTCCGCTTTCCGGTAAATACGTTTCCTCCAAAATTGCCACTCAACACTATTTATCATTTATCGCCCACATAAATAAATTGTTAGCAAAAGAAAGTGCAGACTCGTTCTTCTATCGGCTGGAAAATTCTAAAGCGACTTATCGATTTTATTGTTAAATGCAATTACGACTGCGGACATGAACCCGATATAAACGTTGTTATTCCGCTCGTTCTCGTCGACATATTCTTATCACTTACCGACCGTTCCCGGCTTAATGCGCCCGTGAAACGGAATCCGCGGAGGGAATTGCAACGCACCCGTCATAACCCTAGGTGATGCAGGCTTTTGTAAAACGCCCAGATCAAACGCCATCGTAAATAAGCTGATATGGGCTCGGAAAATACAACGTTGTAGACAGTTTAAGTTCTTTACGGCGCTCCCGTAACGCTTTATGCCCTCGATCTCGCAATAAGAACGTCAAGACGAGCAGCGAGCGTCTTTTTTTATGATTACGTGTTTCTTTTAAGGATCAGATTGAACCAATTTCGAATTTGATTAAGGTTGACAAAGAAATGAAAACATATAACAAAACTTAAACTGTTACTGATAAACAGTCCACCTACAATAACAAACTGTTAATAATGTTAGTTAGATAGGGAAAATTGCATTGTACTAGAGGTGGGAATTTATAAAGATAATATCACAGTTACTTTGGGTGATTTGTATTTTTATTTGGTTATTTATCGTTACTAAATTGACCATAGTAGATGGTATTAAAGTGTTTGTAAAGGAAATCGTAACGTACCATTTAAAAATTATCAACTTGGAAGAGTCGTTAATATTATTAGGATTTTTCCGGAGCGGAACTTTTCGGAATAGGGGAATTCGAGAGGCGTCATTCCGCGAAACCGAAATATGAATTACGAAATGTAGATTAGTTTTATTCGAGGAATACGTTTTCCAGTCGAGTTCTTTGCCTAATTTAACGGGATTTCCATAAGAAGTGTTAATTACAAGAAGTTCCGAAGCCGCTCGAAGATTACGTATTCATGAGGCTGGAGGCGCCGCGCGCTCTCTTTGCGTCGACGTTAATAACTAAAAAGTCACTATGAACAGCCGGCATTTAATTTCGCATAAAACGTTCCCTAACTTTCTGAGTTATTACCGGGCGATTTTCGGCTCGTTCTCAGTTATCCTTTTATTGGATAGGTATTGTTGCCGGGAGTAGTTTTAAAATTACCATCCAATCCGATTAGAAGAACAGTCATCTGTGTAATTTATTTAAGTGTTATTTTGTGGGGATTCTAAGGCCCCTACAACTACTGTTCACTTATTGGTATTATCTATTAAAGTGCTCGCAAATCTTCTCAAAGTACTATTTACATGTTGCAAAAAAGAGCAAGCTTAACATAACGCCGGTATAAGGAAACTTTGTCATCTATCACCCAGTTCGAGAATCTCTCGAGTGTAACGTTCGTGTGCGCGCCATGGCTCGTCGTTCTGTTTGATTTTGATGTTTAATAAAGCTTAATTAGCGCTGCTAAAACAGAAGGGTATTATCAAACAGGAATGATGATGGTTTAGATAATGGAGCAATTATGAAAGGCAAATATTAATTTCAAGAACATCCCTCCCGTCGCTTCGGACGAGTAACAATCTCTGCGACAAAACAAAATTGGAAGACATAATGGAATAAATTTCGCTTCCGCTAAGTTTATTGGAAATTTATTAAATTATCAGGCGGTGTGGTGGTTATGGAATATTAATCTGGCGATGAAACATTTCGCTTTGCTCTCTGTAAGGGAAACTGTGCCACTTTGGGTAGAGTGATTTTGTAGTTTTTTTAAATGAGTTTTAATAATATGCTGCTTTTAAATTTTGCGAGTGTGTACAGCTTGTTCAGTTCTATAGCGAACTTTTTACTGCATCATCGCCTTACATCTCAGCTAGTTTCATTCATATTCCAATTTTACAGCATAATAAAAGGACATACATTGTAGCCTTTTCACTTAAAATATAGGAGGTATTCATTAAGAAAATGCAATACATAATATATTCCCATAATTTATCAGCAAGAAGTTTCTCTTACAAACATTCCAAACTTTTCTCGACTTCGTAATTCCGCTCAATACGGGTAGTTTATTACCAACACATCGTAAAATTGTGTATACCTATTAGGGGAAAAATTGACTCACATCAACTCACGAAATTGTTCAACATCAGAAATCGATTTAAAGACCTCGTGGAATCATTAATCATCGCCTCGAATATTATAATCCCTGTGAAAATGCCATTTGGTATATTATTGAGACTTTCTTAGGTAAGCTTTAATTTAAGTCATTTTTTATATTTCATTTCAAAAAGCATTCTCAACACAAAAGTCGTCGAAATTAATGTACTTTACTGTTATACTTACGAGCTAACGACGGTCTGAAATGAATTGCCCGCTGGTAGCTCAAAATTGCCTCATCCAACTTGTTTTTGCCCTGCAGCAGGATCCCACTGTAACAAAAAAAATTTTTGTCGGATTATGTCAACCCTGCGAAAAGACATGCTAACGACGATAAAAGTTGCCGTATAATATAATACATTTCAATGATGAAATTTCCGAGGACGTTTTAAAGTTACACTCCGGCATAATTATCCATATACGCCTAATATACCGTACATATTAGACGTAAAGGTTCATTATAAGTGATCGCTTGCGGTTAATGTACGTTGGTAAACATTGTAGTACGCCAGATTAGTAATGTTCGTACAACTATACAATTAACATTAAGGTCTGTATGTCATACATGCCTGTCCACATGTGATACACATCATTTTAACATCAATTATTAATTTGCATTTTTGATAACTATTCTATGATATTGGACAGGTAACAGCTACGTATAATAAAATTAATTATTTATAATGCAGTAATCAGTAGATAATGGATCAATGATTAATTAATATTTTCATTCAAATATTAGAATAGTTTTTTTGTGAAACTCTGTTCATTTTATCAAAAATCGGATATTATGCTATTCATTACTGAGTAGACTTTTACAATTATGAGAAACTTTTGTTAGTTACATCGCTAATGGACCAACATTAACTTAAGACCTAGATCTGTTTAATTGTTACAGAGGCATTAGGCGGTATTAAGCTCGTGTGCCATTCTGAAGTTCATAAGCAAAGGGATCGGCTTATTTAATGAAATATTTACCATATAGTTATAATTTGTGTGGTGCATTAATTAATATCTGCGTATAGAATATAATCTTTGGTAGCTCGCAATAATCATTCCCCGAATTCCTCGGCCTAAAACCAATAACCAAAAACCTTAAAACAGAGCTATTAGGTTCCTCAATATACCTTCATTAAATTCCATTTCGGTTCCTAATAGAATCGTCTTAAGGAAGACAATTTAATTATTAGAAACGAATGTGAAATTAAGACGTTTGACATTACCGAGGACTTCAATGAATTATTACTGTCTTAATTAATTAACCGTATATACAGAAAACACGCAACTCGATCACCCCAAGGATATGCCGGGGATTCCTCCAATTGCGGCGTACCTTTTAAATACCTAATAGAATTCGCTCCGAGCATGTGATTTACAATGCCGATTAATGAGAGCAATTGAATTAATTGGAGTTGGATTGAACGGGTCAGGAAATATAGGTATTCATTTTTTATCAACGCCGTCTGTGCAAGTAGATTTTGGAAGAGTTTCATCAGTGAAAAGCGTCAGTAACTTCCAAAAAAACGCCCAGTTGATTCCTATTATGCTCTATTCGTATTGATTTAACTCAATAACGTAAAAATATGGTGGGCCCCCATTATTTCGACGAAAATGATTAATTGCGTTCGTCGAGTCCCCTTTCGAATTTATTTATACATGCATTCGAATAAAAGGCGCTGCCGTGTTTCAGTGAATACATTATTGATGAGGCTCCGTTGACGGGTAATATTTTTTTGACAGAAAAAAATTGAAAATAAACCCGTTATATACCAACGTTTCGATAAATATGTCCGATGCGGTTAAACTCCAAATATATGATTTTGTCGCCTATTTTCGTCGTTACGAAGGATTCCGGCTACTTTCAATATTTTGGGCTGAGTGGGCAAAAACCAATTCGGTTAGCGAAAATAGGCATAACTGTGAAATGAGAAGAATTATAAGGGATGCACAAACAGAAAACTTTTTAATGACGACGGAAACTTCCGGTTTCAGCTTAAACGTAATTTAATATTCCGGCGGAAAAGTTACTCAGAAGTTATCTTTACGTAACTTGTTTTGTCAGAATCCCTATTGGGTAAAAATTTTTAGATTCGTTTCATTTTCGAAGTTTCAAATATTATACGGTTTGTTAGTCGCGATGCGGTAAAAAAATACTACTCTGCTCAAATTGGACCAATTTTCGCCATTCCAATTATATTTATCTACCAACTTCTAACAAATCAGATAATTCACGTAGTAATTCATAGAATAATCTTAGGTAGGTACCTGTATCTTTTGTAAAAAGACATTGCGTTAAATCGGCTTCATATAAAAATTACACTAAATCTGATTTACGACGTCGTTAATTCAATTAGTTGTCACATTGTTTCAAACGTCCCCTTTTCTGATATTTAAGTAAAACGGATGTCCACGCCTCGTATATGCATTGCGTGATGGATATCGCTAAATTAAAACGGCTTAATATGAATTATTTGTTATCGCAACGATATCTTCGCTATTTATCGTTTGTTATAACGAAAGACACTAAATTAAACGAAATTAAACAGTTATATATGTTACGGCGAAACGACGGTCGGGAATTTATACAATTTTTCTGTTCATCACGTTATCAGAGGAATAAAAAAAAAATAATAATCCTAATAGCACGCAATAAAAATAAACGTACCTGTTTAGTATAAAATTATAATAATTTCGTTATTATATTATTGTTAATGAATTAAGTATGTATGTATACCCAAATTGGTCCTTACTATGCTTAATATTTTGTAAATAAAAACGTTTAGAACATTAGAATCTCGTTGTACCATTGACTATACGTTTAATTAATTACTCGAAAGACATTCGATGTTTACATTGTCGATAAGTATTTTCTGCCGTTTAATGAAAATACAAAGATGACATAATCAAGTTAATAGCCCGGAAAGAAGCAGACAGCGACTTTAACTTTTAACGTAAGTTAGTTTTTCCGTTTAATTGGATTTACGGAAATTATTACAAAGGCGAAGTTTGTTTTCACTCCGTTTATGGTTAAACGACAGGAATTACGTTCCTTGAACAAAGAAAATTCGCTCTTTGTATTAAGCTCGTATTGATCAAGGAAGTAATTACGTGTAGGTAATTAATTTCGAATTACAAACACAATATTGAAAAAACAGTAGCCGGAATATCAATTTATTGACTGATCATTTTTTAATGAATTTAATATTTGTCCAAACCCCCTGGATAATTCAATTTTGAAATCTAATGATAAATTTTAAGCAATGCATTTACATATATCGACAAGGTATAAGAGTAATGTCAACTGGTGTTTGCCAATTAAAAATTCATTTTATGATGATAAATAACCAATGCCACGAAGCAACGGCGCCTCGACCAAAAACATCTAGTCCAATTCCAATTCAATCCTGACATATTTTCGCATCCATCAGTTTACAATATATCCATGGTAGAACAACTACGAATGCAGGCGCAGCTACATGCTAGTTGCACACTAATTCATTTTAATATTATACACAACTGACGTTGCGTCCTGTACCCGCCGCGCATTTCATTAACAATTGTCCTCTTATAATTTCAATGCGTGCGATAATCAATCATTTGCCAACCAAATGCACGTGAATTATTACTGCTATAAGTGCCCTTAAAATCGCTGTAAATGTAAACGTTACATCGCATTGAAATGGGAGGTTTTGTACAGGGAGAGAAAACCAAATTAAGATTAACCATAATTCACTGACTACTCCATACATTTTATTAATGGATTAAACATCACTCTAATAAATTTTGGTACTCAAATCCGTCAACTTAAAATCTCTATAATGACATGAGCAACTTAAACGTTAATAATTATTTAATCTCTTTTTAGTTTGCTGTATAAAAGTAAGAAATTTTAATTTATTCTCTCAAGCGCTTTAATTGTTTCTGTCCCCAGTAATTTTCTTTCGAATGAAAAAAAGGCGACGTCGAGCCGTCGACCGTGAAACAAAGTTGTTTGGAATGGCGACGTCGTATTTAAAAAGAACAAAGGGCAACAAAATAAATATGGCCCAATAAATAAGAAACCCGTTAGAAAGAAAGACTGAAACTAATTAGAGGACAACGGTCCTGACACCGTACTTTGTCAGCTATCAAAGGCAAGCAGCTGATGTTTTCTGACCAAGCTCGATTGTGTCGATTTATATCACTTCCCTATAAGAGCGACTTTTTTAAGTTACAACTTCACTACTTACGCCGGAGCGACAGGTGAAAGCGGTAGTTCGGATTGTATTCGAGGCTGAGTCCTGCCCAGTAAATTAATGCCGCATTCTCGGAATATAGCGGAATAGGTAGTCAGAGAGATGGAAAACTGCGGTGAAATTGTTTCAGGCGGCGGAGAGAAATGCTTTGTCATGTTTAGTGAAAATTGCAGCGTATATACAAATGCGAATAACGCACGATAATATCAGTTAAATTTACTGCAAAAAATATAGATTACTTTTATTTTTTTAAGTGGTTCGTTTTTGCAACGACCTACATGTGATAAGTATATGCTAAATTCAGTTTTTCCAGCATAAAAAACTCGGAAAAACCTAGAGTATATGAATATTTTATATAATATGTTTTTCACAATTAACTTAATTGCATATGTGGATATTAATAGTACCTAATTACAAGTAAACTAATTGATGTTTTAATCGGTGTTTAGGTAATTTTAGTTAATATTTTTAGAGCAACGTTCCTATATCATACAGAATTGCTAAGCTAGAATGTAAAAGTGAGTATATAAATTTTAAAACGATTATCTAGTGGTTTATAAATCGTCTCTAAACCAACTTATAATTAATTACCAATATCTACCCACCTATCTCCGCTTAACCGCCGCCCGAACTTTTTAATAACGTTTTTCGAAACTAACTGGAAGGAGTCAGCGATTTCCGCGTCTCCGTTCAAGAACTTCGCCCGTAAACTCGATAGCTCTTCTGTTCAATTTAAGGAATAGTTCGCCGGGAAATTATTTACCAAAGATATCTATCGAGTGATTGATTGAAATTTGATTATGCGGTACTCGCTTAGTAACTCATTATCGATCCCGGTTTGGCAGATTCCATAAAATATTCAGTTCATGCTCGACGGTAGCGTTACGGAAATTCGCTTGATATTCGAATTTGCGATCCGAAAATTGTAATTGCGTGTAAATGCAATTCAGAAGCAGATATTAGCTACGAAAAAATCGAGTTGAATTTGATATGAAATATCAAAATTAATGTAGCAAAATCGGCCATTAGTGCAACAA